GGTTACAGATCTCACGTGATTTACCAATTTTTCGAGGTTGTTCCTGGAACAGGGTGTTCCATTTAGATTATTCCTTTATTTAATATAATTAATTTACAGTTTTTGCCGGATAATGATCATCGGTATCACAAGTATCACCGATCGTCGGGGGTCGGATTTTCCGGGAGACTTATGTTCTCCGATCCTAACCACTATAATTTTATTATTACCCAAAGATTTTTCCGAATATACTAATCATATTGGGATAATTCCGGTTTTAATCTTTATATAGTGAAATTAACAAAAATAATGCATATATTTAAAGTTAATTTTCTCCTTTTTTGTGTCCAGGAGGACCAATTTATTATTAATTAGTTAATCAAAAAAAAAATCTTTTATTTTCGCGTGGAGGTTAAAAGAAAAATCACCACCTACTTCATCCCTCCCTCTCCGACACTTTACTTTCTCTTTTAATAAAGAAATGTATTTTTATTAATAAATTGTGTTGTGTGCAGATATCGTGAATAATGTGGTTTAGCATAATAATCTTCGGGGTTAAATTTCGATTGAAGAAGAAATTTTCGTTGAAATCAATAAAATTCGATCTAATATCAACGATAGTATTTTGCCTTATCTTGATTTCTTCTTGTATTTATGCCGATGACACCGGCAATGTAAATATCACAACCTTTCAAGACGGATTTATGACCACAGCTTCCTCTTGGAACATCAACCCCTCTGTTACTGCTAGTATAGATACGCCAGCAACAACAGTAACATCATTTAATACTACTGGCATTGCTAACACGACTTCTTCACAAACAATTGCTTCTGTAACAACCTCACCAACTAGTCAAACTTATATTGGAAAATCTTCAACTTTTACCAGTCATGTAACTCCTACTGTTTCTTTGAGTAATAATGATAATAGCAATAACTATTCACCTGCGTATAATGCAACCTATGGAACACCTCGTAAGTGAATTTTATTAAATATACACATCCAAATGATAATCCCGTTTTTCACTTATTCGTTTTTTTTTAATTAGCACCACCATTAAGAACAACCATTACTTGGAGTAATGTAATCTTTGGTATATTTTTCATTTGTGTTGGATTGTTGGAGGTTTTTCATGGTTACAAGTATATTCGAATTACCTTATTGATAATGGGTTATCTATTCTTTTGTAAGTAAAATATTTACCATATAGATTGATCATTCAATTGGAACTAGAACTTATTACTAACTTCTGACTATCAATAGCGAGTACGGCTCTGATAATTTTACTTTTGTTGGATAATAATCTTGACAATACAAGATCTGCCACGTTTTATTTCACAACCTGGTTACTAGTTGGATTAATTGGAGGTTTACTCAGTTTCTTTTGTTGGCATTTAGGCTTAATGTTAACTGCTGCTTATGGAGGGTAATAAATTTTTTATTTATGTCAATATTATTTTTTCTCAATTAATTAATTATTCTAATCTCTCATCAATTAACAGCTACGCACTATCGTTGTCACTTCTTGCGATTTTAGACCTCGAAAATCACATTATTCGATGGACACTTTCTATAATAGTGATGATTCTGCTAGCGATAATAGTACATTACTTTGAACGGACTGTAATAATTTTCACCACATCCATTGCCGGTGCATATACAGTGATGTATGGTGTGGATGAATTTGCACAACAAGGATTTCGTGATATGATTCAGTTAGCTAACGCGGATGGATTCTTTAGATTTAATCCAACTCTGGGTGTTTATTTAATGATTGCTGGTGTGGTTTGGTTAGCTGTTGTTGGCATAGTCTATGAATATCGTGCACATGAAAGCCCAATTGATCATTTTTGGTGTGGAGATAGACACCGAAGGCGTGAAGGAAGTGCCCATTTTGATTTGGTTTTTCCAACATCTCCGTCCCCACCTCCACCTCCTTCTACATTATCACCTCCCCCGCCAGCTCTCACTGCTAGTAATCATCCGCGAACACCATCATTAATATCATCCCCATCATTTCCAAATGATACACAAACGTGTTTCCCTAAATTGTTTGGAAGAAAACCAAAATCGAAACATTTTTCTCTCTCACCAACGATGTCTGCAAACACGCCACCACCAATCTTTACAAGTAATCATCCGATCACTGTTACAACTACCACAACTACCACAACAAATGATGACCTCGTTACCAATAATGCTACAATAAATAATGATCCTACCACCATGGAAGTTCTATCGGTCTAATCCCGCCTTTTTATCACCACCAACCTCATTTTAACACATTGTTGTTTTTATTATCATCATTCCTTATTATTGTATCATTATTTTCATTGTATTTTTATTTGTAAATGTGACGCCACCTTATGTATATATAATTGTATATTATATACTTGTATTATCTTTTTTTTATTTGTATCAAAAGAATCTCTTGAAATATTAGCATCAACATAATAAATCTTGCTTATATAAATTTTGAATTTCGAGTTAATGATGATCTTGCTCACTGACCGAAAATGACATCAATAAAATACACAAACATCACCTTCACCAAACCAGAATGGCATTACTTAAGAATACGAGTGTAAGCAAGCTAGCTGGCTAGCTACACGTTCTTTTCGTGTTATTATTAATTATATATTTTCGGTAAATATGTAACATAGGTATTTAGATCCACCAACAAATCCAATTCCGCGCATCTCCTCACTCACTTTACGCACTCTAATCACAAAAGCACTCACCGAAATATTTGGCGTGGTCAAAAGTGGGATTCATGTAGACGTGCTTGATTGGCCAAGCGATGACGAAAATATTGATTCCACCTCTATTACTAACACAAAAAAGGAAATTAATGGTGGAATCATACGAGTACCGACAGAGTTCGTCCTTCTTCCATCAACATTTTTCTGAGGGTTTAATAAATTTTTTCTAAAATTGCTTTTTTCTTTAGAGATTTGACAACATTTTGGAGCGCGTTGACTTTATATAGTACAACGTTAGACGTGGGAAGTTCAGATACTAAAAAGGAGTTACGTTTTGAAGTCTTAAATAATTCACCATATCTTATGGGATTGGTTGCCGATAGTCGGGCTTGGACTAGGCAATTACTTTACGGATAATTCTACAAAAGACTTTTTATTTTCGGTCTATAAATCGAAAACGTGTGCTAATAAAATTTGTCCAAAAATGAAAAATTAAGTACAATAAGCAAATGCATCTAATAATTGATACATAATGATCGTGTATTATTTGACTGGTTTTCTTCCTTTATCGATTTCATTTTCGTCATTTATTCTCTGACCCTTCAGCATTATCATCAACATGATTCGCATTAAATCCGTCATCATAATTCCCAATTTCAATCGCTCGCTGTATACTCTTTACTTCCTCTCCGCACCTCAAACACTGCCACGTCCCATCTTCAAGTATCAATTTACTTTTTATACAATAATAACAATACTTGTGTCCACAATTAGTCTCGTATGGATTATTTAATTTCGAGGCATTTGCACTCGAATGAGAAGATGAAGATGACGATGAGGTTTGATTTTCATAACAAATGGCGCATATTTGTGCAGGGAGGAAATTAAGCGTATTGGATTTTGTGTATGAGGTCGGTAAAAGCATGCGTTTCATGATATTTTTCAGTTTACGAAGATTTATAAGTGGCATCAAGAATAATAGGAATTCCTATTAGATATTCGTTTAAGCATATATTAATAAAGATGGATAAAATCAAATTCTAACATTTGAAACTATACCCACTGTGAATGCATGCCAAACCAATTGTCGATTTAAAAATTCGAAGCTGACTTGTCGATTCGTTGTACGACGAGCATATACAAGACGCATAAATAAAATACGATCAATTAATGATCGATATCTAAAAAATTAAAGAAAGATCGATGATTATCTCACATAAATCATTTTATATCATCGATGTATTACTCACTTGCCATCATACAAGAAAATTAAAAAATTCGCCAAAGAAAGTGTTCGATAAATATTTTCTATTTTTTGCATAAATTTCCAAAATACCCTACGAATATCGTTCTAAATATAAAATATCATATAAACCGAAAGTAAACGGCTAAAAAAAAGAAAAAAGAAAAAATAGACTACCGCTAAAAAACAAAGAGCTTACCTCAGCAAATTCACCCCATCCTTGTGCTGTCATCAGTCTATTAAGACGCATCCAGACATATTGACCACCGATAGTCATAGCACCATAACTAATTCTTTGGAATTTTGATAACGGGTCATCGGCAGAAGTTGATTGCACTTTATGAAATCATTTAACAATTGATTTGATCAATGCAAAAAATATTACGGGATTGATTAGACAAAGAACCTTTACATTTAATGTTAAAAAACTTTATCTCCCCCGAATGACATCATATATTGAAATGCGCACATCCACCCACATGCCGCTTCTCATTACGATATTTCAAATTCTGTAATTGTGCACCATACGTCGCACCACTTTCATATATCGAAAAACGATATAGCACGAGTTGTAGCAAGGCTAATAATTCAGGTTCAAATGTTTCTTTGAAACTAGGCTTAGAAATGTATAAATAATCGGTTAATAAGGATTGAAATGTCTAAAGGTACAAGTTCCACCCCCTTAATTCTATATATGATACTTGCAGAGAACAGACCGAAAGCAGTCAATAATTGTTCTTTTAACAGCCCAAACAACTCATTATCTAATGAATCGGCGTCAAGTTGGCTCACACGCATAATACGCAGAGGTGGTGACGGGAAAGTCGCCAAAGACTGGCGTATTTCGCCAAGCTTTGTTTGTGCTTTAAGCCATTCGTTTGACCAGAAATTTTTTGACATGTTACCGATATTAGTTTCCGCTGCCATTTTGTATCAAAAAAAGATTTGAATTTCTTTTGTTCAAAACGGCACGTGCAAAAAACGTGCGCTAATTTTCTATAAAAAAGCATCATCTGGTAAATAGATTGAATTGAAGTTCTTTATACTAATTAATTCTTTTGATATAATGAAGATATTTTATGAAGAAATTTGTGGAACAAATAAATTTCACTTGATATAGTAAAGTTAATTAATAAAACTCAATATAATTTTGAAAAAAAATTATTTAAAAATATTTTTAATAAGTAATTTTAAAAATATTTTTGTAAAAATATATTTTAAGATAT